CTCTCTCTCTCTCTCTCTCTCTCTCTCTCTCTCTCTCTCTCTCTTTCTTTCTTTAAAAATGTGAGTGCTCTTCATGTATGCCTGCACATCAAAAGAGGGCACCAAATTTCATTACAGATGGCTTTGAACCACCGTGTGGGTGCTGGGAATTGATTAACCGCTGAGCCATCTCTCTAGGCTCCTTTATTTACTTCTTACTATTTATTTATTTATTGTGATGTGTGGGACACGTGGAGGTCAGAGGACAACTTGTGGGAGCTGGTTCTTTCTCTCCACCAAGTGGGTTCCTGGAGTCGGACTGGGGTCGTGAGGCTTGATGACAAGAGCGAGCCCAGATCTAGCGTTTTCAGCAGCTCAAAGACAACAAAGCCTTACCGAGGGAGGCGGGGAGAGAATTGTACGCATGCTCACAGCCCAGGGGCAGGCTTTTCCCCGCGCTCTTGCACGCAGAGCCGGAAGTGTAGGCGGGTGAGTCGCCTGGAACTGAGTTGCCACCACTGTAGGTTTCTGTCCGGAAGAAAAATAACCAAACCGCCCGTAGGCCAGCAACATGGCGTGGTCCTCTAATAAGGTACTGAGAGCTGGGCTTTGCGCCTGACCCAAGCCTGGGATCTTCAGAGGGTGGTTCGGTAGCAGGAACTTGGGGTCGCCGCTGTGCCAGCACTGAAGGATGGATGCCCGAAAGCGAAAAGCTTGGGGTTTGGGGTTCTGCATTTGAGCCTTGTCCACCTCCACGCCCCCGTTAGCCTCCCTCCGGCCTCACGGGCTCCTCATCCTCCCTCCCTCCCTAGCTTCCTCCCTTCCACTTTCTATGCGCTCCACCTGCTAACGCGGGCGCCCCTTACCGCCTCTGAACCTGGGGTCTTGAAAATCTATATAGGAATTGTATAAGTTATCCAGGATCGTCCCCTACGTGACAGGCTTGTAAAGCTTGAGATGGGGATTCTGTGAATAAAATAACTCAAAGTAGAGCGTCATATTATTACCTTCCTAATAATTTAGTATCTCGAATTTATTGAAAGCTTACTGTGTGAAGCACGGAACTAAGCCTTGGATTCCCATTTCATTAAATCTTCACACCAACCCCTGAGATGAACATTATTGTCCTTCGCTTGTAAGTAGGAGAACCAAGGCACAAAGAATTGAAGTGATTAGAACATGGTCACCCTTTCCATAGGTGGTAAAATACGGATGTGAACCCAAACCATTTTCAGAGCCCTGAAAAAAAAAAAATCCTCTGCATTGCAAGGAATCTATGACCCCTGGCTTCCTAGGTTAATAAAGGAAATTACAGTGAGCTTTAAAGTGATATTTTGATCACCAGAGAGAAATATAATTGCGATTCCTTCATTCTACTTACCCATTCATTTCATACAGGCAGACAAGATAGGGGTTAACCGATCTGTTTTCCTCCACCCCCATTTGGGAAATTTTGATTAAATTATGAACTCATTGTGAACTCATAATGATGTTGCTCTTCTCCTTGGTTCTTTCAGTTGCTGAAAACTTTGTAGCTCTCATGAAGGGCTTATTTGTGGCAGATGTACTTCCAATAAGATTCTGGCAGGTTATATTGCTTCAGTGCAGGAAAGAGTTGCTATACTCTTCCCAGTCTCTCTGCCCTGGTTTTCTTACGGCTTCCAGAAAAGAATTTAAAAGTATCACAGACCATTCTTCTGGACCAGAATTTTCATACTGTGAAACTCTTTGATGTTTTTTTCTGAATCTCTAATTCTTGACAAAAGACTTCTGGTCCTTTAGTGTTTGCGAATTTAAAAGTAGGTTTTGTGGACATATATTAGGTAAACACAGCCAGCATATTTTGTGATTCTTCTTAAAACAAGATTTTTTTTTTTTATGCTGAGGGAATCCCTGTGGGGTGTAAATTGAATTCCTCTCAAAGGTTCTCTGTAGTTTATTACTGCTTGTCCCCAAATAAATTGTCATTGCTTCTGAAATCTGTTAATATGACCGCATCATGTGGTTCCATTCTTTATGAACAAAGAGAAAATAGTGTTTCCTTTGTGTGTTGTAAAAGTCAAATTTAGGAGTCAACTCCCTAGTGTAGGAGCTCATCGAGGTTTTGCAAACACCTCTGGAGACAGGTGGTCCCTGACTCAGAAAAGAGCGCCTTCTTCATTGGTCACTTTTAAATCTTTCTCTTATAAGATAGGATGCCCAGAATTGCTCACAGTTTTTCTGATCAGCATACAACAGAGATGAGACTGCTAGAGTCAAGACTGTTAAATTCTGGAAACAGCCTTACACCTCACGTAGTCTGGCAGTTTTATGTGTGACTGAATTAACAGTGAGCTTAAGTGACATTCCCATGGAGTCAGAGCTGATTAACTGGTGGAGATGGGACTAGAACCTGGGTCTCTGGATTGTTAATCTAGGATTTTTTTTTTCCACCAAAAGACCCTTCATTTTCTTCCTTGAATACATTATGGTGTTGTTATATCTTAACATGTTTTCGAGGATAGAATGTTGAAGCTGTATCACTTTGTTGACTCAAATCTATAGTTTACTTTAAGATTATGAGTTATGGGCTGGAGAGATGGCTCAGAGGTGAAAAGCACTGGCTGCTCATCCAAAGGTCCTGAGTTCAATTCCCAGCACCACATGGTGGCTCACAACCATCTATAATGAGATCTGGTGCCCTCTTCTGGACTGCAGGAATATATATATATATATATATATATATATATATATATATATGTATATATATATAATAAATAAATCTTAAAAAAAAGATTATGAGTTATTAGTTCAGGTCTTTTAAAGTTTATATATGAATAAATTTTGTATGCAAAATACATAGTTTCACATGTGTCCATTTTGCATTTAGTTTGTTTCATTTCCTTAGTCCCTGTGATAATACTAATCATCAACTCCACAGACTGTAGAATCGCAGGGTGAGAGGGGCCTTTGGGCCTGCCTCTGGCGGGGATGGTCTTTATTATGGTAATTGATGTGGAAAGACCCATCTTAACTATGGGCACGGCCATTCTCTGGTCTCTAGGTTGTGGAAAAAGCAAACCAGACG